GGGGAATTTGGGGAGTTGAAGTCCACCCATCTTAAAGTTGCTGAGGTTGAGGAACCCTGCTTTAAAGCGATAAAAAAAGAATGCTATAAATCATTTCTTGCTCTGGGACCCATTTCATTCCCTTTCAGATCCCTTGCTTATTTGTAGCTTGTCCCACTCGCCTCACAAGCCATTATAGCCACGTTACCGGGGGAAGAAAACCAAACCGAGGCAAAATGGTTTAAAGCCTGCGGAAGAAAAGAGGGGAAACTGAAGCAGAGTTTAGCGCAGTCAAAAAACTTGCAACTTTTAGGAAAAAAAGTGCTCGGCCTCATGAAATGTTTTTAGCCCACATTGCCATACTTGATGGATAGTTTATCTCTGGTTTATTGAATAGACCACAATGTGTTCAGTTGATTCAACATGCTAAGCTAATGGGAAATTTTGCAAGATTCAGGCTCAGGGGGTTGTGTGAACCCAGGCATGGTGTTCTGTTAACCATGATTAATATAGGTTCGTGTGTTTTTCTGAACCCAGCCAATTTTAGCTTAGTCAATAAATCACAGAGAAAAACCGAAACTTGAAAGTCACCCAAGAGAGAATATGTTTTTGTTTTTTTAATCTGTGATCTCTTCTGGGCGAAATAATAACAATAGCATCGTGATGCTTATAAAAAGGGGGCAGGGTTTTGATGGCATGGTTGTAGCTGCCATTTTGACTTTTTTGACCCTCCCCATAGGACCCGCCATGGTGCAGGAAAATATTAACACCTCTCCTCTCATGCCCTCATTCTCCCCACCGTAAAAACTCACAAATGTGTTATTTTTACAATGAAAAAGTCATGACAAATGAGAAAGATCCAGATGTATTTATCGCTACGCCCTGACGCGAAAGAAGCTTTTCAAAAGGAGCCCGCTTGCCTGTTTGCAAAAAGAAAACGCGTGATAAATAAAGTTTGACAGAACCCCAAGTCGTATTAAAAGAAACACGACCTTCTTTGATCTGGCTCCTCTTTAAGAGGCTGTCAATTTTCTCGCAGGAGGTTCAAACAAACAGACTTTGCAGAAATTGGAATGCGATTATGTGAAATCAGGCACGCGGTTAAGTTTTTAAAACTTTGCTGACAAGACCCAACCTTGTTCTTCTGGGGTCTAATTCAGCATTAGTGTGGATAGACAATGTGTGCGGTCTTTCTGGTTAGGTAACTATTTTGACCACAAAGATTATAGGGTATTTAATAAACCTGAGCCAAGAATTCTTCTCTAGAGGAAATTATACAAAAAGCAAAATTGTTCTGGTCGTCTTACTTTTATCTCTCTGTGTATTGTAGGTATGCATCTTATCTATTTAACATAAGGGATATTTTGAGTCCCAAACTCAGTTAAACATCCACTGATATTTTTTTCTTCGTCTTGGCTTCCCCATCGGTAAAATGCATCCACTTTTTCAGCAAGCATACATTTTGCTTTCTCTTACAAACTCAGTCCATTGCCTTTCCTCCTTTTTCTTACTAGACCGGGGCTTCTTAAACTTTTTTCTCTCAGGACCCCTTCCCACTTTTAAAAATGATGGAGGACCCCCAAAGAGCTTTCATGGGTATGGGTTACATTTATCAATATTTACCGTATTAAAAATTAAAATTCATGCATTCACTGCCATTACTGCTTTTCATGATTGTTTGATGGGATTTTAATATGGTATCGTTTTTGGCAAATAATTTTGACTTTGCAGACCCCTGACAGGGTCTTGGGGACCCCCAGGGGTCCTCAGACCATACTTTATCCTGGACTAACTATGGTTATTTAGGGGTAGCTCTTTATAAAGCCTGTTTCTTACTAGACTAACTATGGTTTCTTATGCATAACTCTATAAAGCCTGTTTCTCTTTCTTACTAGACTAACTATGGTTACTTATGGGTAGCTCTTTATAAAGCTTTCTTGGAAGGGCCCCTTTCTTTCCCATTCCCCAAGCTGGAAATGTGCTGAACAAGAAATAGGTATTTGTCTTTTTGACACTGCTGAAAGTGTTTTTAAAGCAAGGAAGCCAAATGGAAATTTAGAAAATGGAAGGGAGAGGAAATGGTAAAATAGCCCCAAATATATGGAATGTGGAGGAAGAAGAAAAAAGTTTGTCATATGTTTTATTCAGGAGTAGCCTAAAGGTCCCAGTGAAATTTCAGCATCTCCAAATGAGACTTGCTGAAGTGAAAACCAACCTTACATTTCCAGATGCTTTCCAATCACCAGAAAGGAATGTCCCCTGGAGAGGGGAGGGGAAAGAGGTGTCAAAACAGTCAAGATGGCATCCATGGGTGCACAGTCAAAGCTTCACTTCTTTTTACACCGGTTGTACGGATGTCCTCTTGACTTGCTCCTGCAGGTGTCTTGTCCATCATGCTGAGCCACACTAACCAATATGTTGATTGGGGACTCTGGGGAATATAGTCTTCTCCCTCTGGAAGACCTTAGATCATTAGGCTGTTCACTCTTCTGGTGTCCAGAGACCCATGACAGCACTTGGAAGTTCAAGGTAGAAACTGGGATGAGTCACAAAAACATCTAATCATGATTTATTGCGTTGATATCCCATTCACCGCTTTCCTGCAAGGTTATCGGCTTCATGGCTCAGCAGGGATTCAGAACTAGATTTCCCCCATCCTAAGCAGTATTTGCACAGTGTTGTCTTAAAACCTGAGCCAAAACTTTTGATCAAAGGCCATTTCTGATAAGAGTTTCTGCAAGCATCTTCAACCGTTCTGGGCCTGGAAACTTTTTATAGACCAGCACGTTTGTCCTAACACTGAGCCAAAATTTCTTAAGTCCAAAGAAACATCTGAGATTATTCTTTTTCTTGCTTTTTCCCACAACCAAAGTCAGGGTTCTGCCACTCTCCAGCCACCAAGGTTGGAAATCGGTGGCCTGGTTTATTCCCACCAGCCTAAGACAAAAAGTATTGTAGGGACTCAAGAAGGCTTCATACAATGCTTTAAAAATGAGTGATGTGACTCCATTTTGTATCCTTTGTCCACTGGACTTGCTTGCAAAATTTTGCCTCTCCCACTTGAGAAAAAAAAGGCAATTTTGCTAGATCCAGGACATTGTTCAGCAGAAGTTCATAACTTTCTCCGAGCAGAGGGAGGGCACACTGGGCCTTGAAGTTCAGGGCATCCTGGGTGAGGGGGGGTCAAAAAAGTGGCGCTAACTGTGCAATCAATCCCAACCTTTCTATGTGTATCATACATACAACACACATTAAAAAGGGGCAGGTCTTCAATCACTGGAATACAGCTGCTCTATTGACTTTTTTGACCTCCCTGCCCCCCATGGATGCACCTAGTCCTGGTAGCACTAGCACCGTAGCAAAAAAGAAACAACTTTTGAACCCTGATTGGTTTCCATGAAATTTAAACACGATTAACATTAGGGCTGTACCAAGCTGCAGTGCAGAGGTCCAGGTTGATGGCCATTCCATCATCCTCCTGAATTGAATTGGCCGTCGGACTGGAATTGATTGTTTCAGATTGCATCAAGCTGAACCGACTGGGCGATTGATCCCATCAGAGCCAATTAGAACAGACACACCCACCCAAATGACTGGGTTGGCTTTCCATTCATTCATATAATTTCTCCCTTCTCAAGCAGCACTTGGGGACAACCTTTCAAGGTCTGTGGAGATATCATCCAAGCTTCCAATTGTGCAACTCTGTTGGAGAAGTTGGGAAACAGCCAATGAGGGAAGAGCTATTTGAAAAGAGAAAGCTTTACTTCTCCTCCTAGAGCAATGTTTCTCAACCTTGGCAACTTGAAGATTTGTGGACTCCACCTCCCAGAATTCCCAAGCTGGGGAATTGGGGGAGTTGAAGTCCACAAATCTTCAAGTTGCCAAGGTTGAGAAACATTGCTCTAGGAGGAGAAGTAAAGCTTTCTCTTTTCAAATAGCTCTTCCCTCATTGGCTGTTTCCCAACTTCTCCAACAGAGTTGCACAATTGGAAGCTTGGATGATATCTCCACAGACCTTGAAAGGTT